GCCGGTCGCGCCGTGCGCGACCGGCTCGGTGAGAAGCAGCGGGAGCGGCGCGGCTGCCGGGTGAGCGGCAGTGCCACGAAGGCCCGTGGGCGTACGCACGTGTACCTAAGCTTTCCTGACGTAAACGGACGGTTTACGGTACGTCAGACTAAGCGTGCGTTCAGGTGCTGGCGTCAAAGGCGGGACGGCTGCTACGAGGAGAACAGGCTGCGGTATTTCTTGGCCTTTGTGTTCCAGGTATCGAAAACCTGCCTTGTGAGCTGCAAAGGAACTTCCAGCTGATGCGGGAGTTGGATCAGAGAACAGAAGGTGTGTTCAGGTACTTCGGTAAGCGAAGGCTGACGGAGGGCCTCGGCCCGAAGGACGGGAAGAGCCCCGGGGAGACTTGGCTTTAGAGGACGTGTCTCCCCTCTACCGCTTTTCCTTTTCTCTGCCTGAGCGCTGTGCAGCTTTTGTTTCTTTTCTGTGAGGACTCCAGCTCACAGGACTGAGGGTTTTTTCAGCAGTTGCTTGTTAATTAGTAGCTGCGCAATCGCTGTACCTGATGGCCCCTTGGATGGCCTTACCTGCACGCGTTTCCGCATCTACTGAATTGTAGATTGCTGCGTGTCTTGCAAGACCGATATTTTTTTTTTTTGAGGTTTGTGTTGGTATCTGGTTGCGCATTAGTGATTTTCAATTTGAACTATTAGAATGGTAAATGGCTGCGTAGCAAATATAATGTTCTGTGTGTGGGAACAGAGGCCAAAGTTGTGAACCCATCGGTTTAGTTTCTGGTCTTAACTGTGAGCCTCTGCTCTGAATTAACTGTAAAACACTTGAGAAATCGGAATCACACCACAAGTCTTGAAGAGTGAATACCTTTAAGTTAATTTTTTTTAAAAAAGGTAAATACATTAAGAGATCAGGGGAAGTCAGAAAACTGTCAGGAGAGGTCTTCTAAATACTGTAAAGAGATAGAAGAAAAAAATAATTGCTTTGGCAGACAGCTTTCTCACGTGTATATACTTTGCTTTTCAGATAAGAAAGCAGAAATTGACAGTCTTGCAGCAGAATACATTGAATCAGTGAAAAACATGTTACCCGAGGAGCGGGTGGAACACCTGAAGAAAATCCAGAGTGCCTACAACAAATGTAAAGAGTACAGTGATGATAAAGTCCAGCTGGCCATGCAGACATACGAGATGGTGAGGATCACAACCAGTGAGACTTCTGTTAAAAACGGTCATACTCTGGAATGGGGCTGCTGGTGGACACAGAAGATATTTCCACAGCGTCCGTTTTCCCTGATGTTTTTGTTTTGGGTTAAATATCTTACTGAAACAAATTCTTAGTTCTAAAGCGTACTTTTCCTACTGTTGTCCTCTGTTATGTTAGCAGGTTTTGTGTCAAGTAGGCTTCTCGTCTGGTGAAAGGTTAAATGAGTTTATCCCACTTGAGTACTTGGTAGTATTCTTCTGCTGTGTAATAATGCCAGCAGATTTATCCCACTCCCTTCTCCCCACCAGCTCCCCTGTCACCCGATAATTTATTTAGGGCTGGTCTTAGTCATAGACAATGGGTTTTTTTTTTTAGTCAATTTCATTACTGTATTGTGGAGGAATTGAGGGAAATCTGCTCAATTACCTCGGTTTCCAAGTGACAAAAGAAAGCAGACCTGTCAGCTCCACCATTCTGGTTGTATACTGGACACCAGACTTTCCTCAATCGACCTGGTGGGAAAATCTCATTTCTTAAGATGCAGCTTTCTGCTTTTCTCTTCTGCCTCTACTCCTGTGTGCGTTTAGCTGCCCCTTGAATAATTCTTATCTTTGTGTGTTTTATCCCATAGATAAAACTTGAGTGAAGGGAATCCTTTCGACTGTGCTTAGTATGTTTTGTCCAGCTTCTAGCGATGCTTTGGGTTCTGCTGCATCTGCAGCTGCAGTACGTTGTATTGCCATCAAAAAACTGCAGAAAAGTAGATTATTTCACAGGGATTGAAAAGCGTCCTAGATAACCACTAATTTGAAGGCTAGGTATTGCAGCAACGCAGTTTGGGGGTGGTGACTTAAAATACCTTTGCTGCATCTCTGTTCTGTAAGCCACGTTATTGCAGCCAGGGTAGCACAATGTACTTACTTAACATGTATTGACTTGATATTGGAGGTAGTTGGCAGAAGCCTGTATTACTAAATTTCTTTGAATAGCATGCCAGTGAAATGCCAGGAAAAACAGACTGATCTACTCAACACATTTCATGGACATGAGTTGAATAATGTATTTTGAAAATTGCAGGGAGAAAACAATTCTTTTTAATATCTCTTATTGTCTTGTTTTGTTCCACAAACCATCAGTCTGAGTTGCTTTGACTCTCCTTTATGCCACCTCCTTCCCCCTTTTCCTTCTTTTCTCTTTGCCTGTGTTGGGATTAGGTCCTCTTGCTTTTTTGTATTTTCCTTTGGCTTTTTCTCTCTGCTTTAATTCCCTTTGTGTGTACCATTTCCCTTTTTTCCAGTTTCATAGCCCTTTCATGCCTTGCTCTAAACTATTATACTGCTGTTCATGCCGATAACGGCCTTCCTGTTTTCGTTTGTGGATTTTTTTTCTTAATTCAGTTTGTGGTTTCCTCTTCTGTGCAGGTGGATAAGCATATCCGCCGGCTGGATGCAGACTTGGCGCGATTTGAAGCAGATCTGAAAGATAAACTGGAAGGCAGTGACTTTGAAAACCCTGGATCTCGAAGCCTAAAAAGTGCGTAAATTTAATATGTTTGACAGCCTTTCCCAGCACTGAGCGTATCTAACCAGAAAGGCTGAGATATAAAATAGGCTGTTATTTCTGGAGGAAGAAAAGAAGTCCACCATAGTGTACTTTTCTACTTGTTTTTAATGCTCTTCAAATATTTACAGTGTTCTGGTGGGCAATAAACAGATGAAGAAAAATCTAGTGCTGGGATCTAACTTACTGTCTCTGCTTGCCAGATCACCCTGAGGTGGCCAATGGTTACTGGTTGTAAGGAGGCCACTGGCCAAGGGGGAGCTTACTGTGACAAAACCGAACTGATTTTCTCACAGCTCTTGAGTGTAAAAGTTTTAGTTTCAGGCTTGATCTGTGACTGAGTAAGTTCTAAGATCTTTTTGAGGAGAGATTTCTGTTTTCCTCCCTTTACCAGAATTTGAATTGAATTAGGAGTTAAAGGAAGGTATCAGTTCCTGTAATGTATACTGGAAATCTCCTATGATTACAGTGAAACTTGGGCATGGTTAACAGCAGTACAGCTTTATGCCTTTGAATTGTGAAATAAGAGGTAAGATCAGGGATGTGGAGATAAAAGTTACGTTAGTTATTGAGTAACCAATTAACTGGCTGAGTGTTTAAAAATATACTGAGATTTTAAAAAAATATTACAGCATGTCTAATCAAATATGATGCTATTTATATCTTGTGCAACAATATGGGCTAACATTGTACCGCAATGATTTAGTTGCCAAAACTGTGAACGGAAGAGTTTGGTGCTCAGTTGTACTACTTGCCAATTTGGCATGTTTGTGGCATAAAAATGTATTTCTGTATTTCAGAAGCAGCATTCGTATTCAATTACACACAAAAGAAGGATTTCAAACCAATAAATACATCAAAAGAAAAAGATTGCGGATTTTTCTGGTATTCAAATAAATTGAAATGATGGGTTTTTTTCCTTTATAGAGGGACGAAGTCAGAAAGACAAAAGAGGCTCTCGCGGTCGAGGCAGGCGAACATCTGAAGAAGATACACCAAAGAAAAAGAAACTCAAAGGAGGGTAAGGCATACCCAGTCACAGCTCTGGTGACTTTGGCTTGACACTTCATGAATTTTCCGGAAGCTCACATTACCCTGTTTGACTCGTGTCTGGATGGTGAGCGGTGTTAGAGCGTTGTAGTCTTACTCCGTTTCATTAGTGTCCTGCTTAAGACAAGTCAGCTTTGTTAATTAACTCCTTGGTTGGCATGTGGAAATTCAGCATGCTTGGAATGCCCTCTGTCTGGAAGGACAAGATCAGCATCTCTGTTACTGTTGGCAAGCTGGGAGAAAATAGCTTTGTTTTTTGTCATGTGGCTATTTTTAACAGTTGCTTGTGGTCTTGATGGTAAAAAAAAAAAAAAGACTTGCCCATTGAGACAAAACCTGATGTTTTACTGCTGTTCTAGACATCTTGGAGAATTTTGGGGGTTGTTTTCAAACAGTCATGTCCTGAACAATCTTGAGTAATCTCATTTGGTTTTGTGAAGCAAGGAAGAAAGCATGTCCCCTCTCTATCATATGATTTATATTAGAGGGATGCTGTTAATTCTGATTTTTCAGTTGGCTAAATGGAGGGG